CGTGCTTCATACCTTTGATGGTCTTTTGTTTGTCGAACCCTTCCGTGTTGGTGACAAAGGGTTCCAGAAGAATGCGCTCTGTTTCTGCTTCGTCTGGGTCGTCACATGTTGTTGTTGTTGTTGTTGTGATCTCTGCGCTCTGTGTTGGTTTCACAAAGGTCTGTCTCCACGATGTCAATCTCGATGTGTCTGGACCGTCTGGCATTTGCTGTGGTGTATACATGTTGGTTCTGGGCTGAACATGGACGCGTTTCCAGTAGCGTCCTTCTTTGATCCACTAGTCTGTGGTAATTGGATCGTTGGATGGATGTGGAAGAGAGGTTGTTTTCGGAGGTGTCTTCTCGAGGTGCCGGTGCGTTGGCTTGAACGGTGTTGACGTCTTCATTGTTGGCGTTGGCTTCGGCGTGTCTGGAAGCGGTGGTCGTGGCTGTGTGGACGCTGCCTCTCCGGGCTTTGGCTTGAACCATGTTTCGCCTGTCCACACCATGCTTTGAGCACTCTGCGCTGCTGGTGCTTGTTAAGGCTCTTGTATTCTTCCGTGAAGTCTTCATCGTTGTTGTCGTCCCCGTGCAGTATTGTTCGTCGGAAGTTATCCAAATCGTCAAGGGGTACCGGACAGGTGTTGGCATCCGGTGTGAAGAGTGCTTTGCGTGCTCGTTTGTGTACTCTGACCAAGTACCCGTCGTTGTTGTATGTCCAGAGGTCTGTGTTGCCTCATCGCATTGTTTCCACACCTGTAGATGTGAGTGTTACAGGCGAGATGTTTGCTTTCGCGCCGTTATTTGTCTGCTTTATGTTTAAGACCATGTATGTTGTCAGGAAGTGTCACGACCCGTGTTGGAAGGACGTAGAGTCCATCCTTCTGCTTCAGTGATGAGGTGAAGCATTTGCTGTGCGTGATTGTTGGGTTGTCGTTGAAGTTGATGTGAAAGCCTTGTTCTCTCAGTCCTGTTGGACGTCACACACGTAGAAAGGTATGACGATCGGGTGACCGTGGATGTTGTCCATGTAGATCCATTTGTACCCATGGAGTTGGATGTTGTCATCCGTCACTGTTCTGAGTTGGGGACCTTCTCCACGTTGAAGCCGATGTAGTGGGAAACTGTTGCCAAACCAGAGTGGTCACACATGTGTTGCTGCTCCACTGTCAACCATCAGGTTGACAAGGCCGTCCTGTTGTTCGTGCCGGTGTGTCTGCTGGTGTTGGCTGTTGTCGTTTGCTTCTTGTTCGTTCACTGCCGCCACGACGAGCTCCACGCCAGAAACCACGTGAATGGTTGGTGTGCTGTCCATCTGCTGTGCCGTTGGTGCTGGTAGAGCCAGTTGTGAGGCTTGTGGCGCTGTTGCTCCTGCTGATGCATCATAGTGCCACCAAGTCGGGTCATAGTGCTGCTGCTGTTGGTACCAGTAGTCTGTTGCATCTGCCTGTTGCTCGTGCCCTGTCTCATGGGTGTTGAGATTGTAGACTGGAACTCTGCAATCTCGTGCCATGTGTCCTTGCTGTCCACATCTGTAACAACCTTGTGTTGTCTTGCCTTTGCCTTTTCCTTGGCCACCTTTTCCTTTGTGGTACTGATTGTAGTTGCCTTTGCCAGAGAACGGGTTGCCATACCCGATAGGTGTTGTGTATTTTCCTTTGCCTACGCCTACGCCGTGTGCTGTAGTTGTTGTACCCTTTGTTGCCGTAGCCGCAGCCCTTTCCTTGTTCTCCTTTACCTTTTCCTTTGTTCTGTTGACCGTTGTATTTGCCTTTGCCCTTGTTGATGGCTCCGATGTCCATTGGTGCTTGTCCTCCGCCATAGTTCGTTGCTACGCCAGACGAGCCTGGTTGCAGCGCCGACTTTGTAAAGGCTGTTGTTGCTCTGTAGTATTCCATGATTGTTGTTCTGATTTGTGCATAGGTTGTAATTGTGCCGACCAGGAGTTGGAGATGTTGTTGTAGAAGTCCTGTGGTTTCGTTCAAGAGTACTGCTATCTTGACTTGTTGAGCCGTTGTCTCGTTCGAACCTGGCAAGTTGGAACTCCCATGTCGTGAAGGACTCCTCGAAGTTGTTGTTGTCGAACTTCGGCTTGACGAGTTGGTGAGGTAGCCGATGCTGCAATTGAGAACCGTTGACAGAGCTGTCGAAAGATCTCCAGCCCCATCTCATGCTGGTGTTGTCCGCAGACTGTTGCTGCTGCTCCGGTGGTGGTGCTTATGAGTATGTACTTTAAGTCTGTTGCTAGCTGTTGCCATCATTCGCCTTCCTGCTGTGTTGGTGCTGCCGCCATGAGCTCTGTGTCAGTGAGTCGTGTTGATCTGTCGAGGAGCTGTGGGTAGATGGCGTCCATCAAACCCATGTATGCTGTGATTTTGTACTTCCACTCCTCGAATGTTGCATAGTTGCCATCGAATGTTGGTGGTCTGAGTTTGAACCGGTGCGCTGTTGCTAAGGCTGTGGTGTCTTGTTCTATCTCTGGTCCTGTTGTTGCTGATGCTGCTTCTTGCTGCGTGTGTTGCTTTGTTTGTTGAGCTCCCCCAGTGTTCTGGGATCAAGGCTCTGCCGGTTGTGCTTGTTGTTTGTTGTTGGAGCTCCCCTAGATGTTTCCAGGATCACTGCTCCGCTACAATGAAAACGTGAATGCTGATGTTTCACGTCTGTTGTTTGTATACGCGCCTTTGCACTTGTTCTCGATCCAGTGTTGCTAAAGGGCCCTGTTGGCCCACATGCATCAGCTGTTGCTAAAGGGCCCTGTTGGCCCTGGTTTGTTCCTCCACTTGGGCATCATCCTACCAGTCGCTGCCAGGCGCGAATTGTGTACAGTCATCCGTTGGTCTGACAAAGCTATTTATGGCAGAGTCGAGCGCCAACTTTCACCTTCAATCCCCAGCTCTCGCTCTTGGCAAGCTCAAGGCTGGATTTCTTCATCAGAGGAGGGATTGTCAGTGCGCTCCAAGGGACAAAGATCGAAGCGCAAGCACTTCACCAGAGCTTCCGAACCTACTCATCAAGGTGGCAAACACCACTTCGGCGCTCTCTGAGTCATGTCGCTGGATGTCAGATTCGGGCCAGCAAAGCCATAGGAAGCGTTGCTGAGCTCCACCTGGCCCTCGAAATGACATCTGCACAACGATCGTTAGCTTTGTGTGGGGGTCAAATTTTGAGCGCCCTAATTAGCGTGGACATTTGACTGGTGGCTTGGGTTTTGGTTTAGGCATCCCACTTTGCCAGAGCCGTGGCGTCGGCCCATTCGCAAACCCACTGCCAGTGAAACTATTCACACACCGGTTTGGTGCAAGTTTGTTCATTGAGGCAGTTTGGCAGGTATTAAACAAAAGAGCCGCCAGACACACACTTAGATATATAGCTCAACTGAAAGAGCATAAATTTCAGAAGCTGGATCACGGATGCGTTAGCCCTTTACTTCATTAGCGCTTGACTCGGCTGCAGAACACCGAAGTAGACAGCGTTGTCATTACTTAGGTTCAGTGAAAGATCATTAAAAATCAATGCAGGTACGTCCAGCTGGCCAAGCTGGATATCCCATTTCACTGGTAGCTTCATTGGACACAGTCCCTGCTGAACATCTTAAAACTAAAAGTACTCTTAAAAAGAGTGTGACACACACACAGTGTTCCGTGGCCGGCGCTCGGAGTACAAGCGGCATTGGCGCTTTAGTGCAGAAACAACGCATTGGACAGCTTAAGCCTCACCTAGGTTCACGAGGTATCTCACGGAAGCAGTACTGCGTTGACGCCGCAGTGAAGAAACAACGTATTGGACAGCTTAAGCCTTACTTAGGCTCACAGAGTCTCTCGCGGATGCATTAGCTCTATACTGCAGTAGCGCTCCAGCGCAGGAACAAAGCATTGGACAGCTTAAGCTTACTTAGGTTAACAAAGTCGCTCACGGATGTGGTGCAGTGGCGCTTTAGTGCAAAAACAACGCATTGGACAGCTTGTGCCTTACTTAGACTGACAAAGTCCGCCGCTGAACTGAGTGGCTCTTAGATACAGAGTGTGACGCAATCAGCCGCTTGGCTGCACACGGAGGAATGCAGAGATCTGCGCACTTGACAAAAAACCGGGTTACCGATTACCGACCTAAAAGCCTAGAAAAGGAACGCGGGCAGGAAGGAACAAAAGCGGGGGGGGGGGGGTGGATCGACAAAACGAGCCTAAACGACAACCTAACAAGCCTGAGAAAAGGCCAAGAGAAATGAGAAAAGGTAAGCAAAAAAAGAAAGGGTGCGGGGGTGTGTGAGGGGTTGGGCGAAAATGCTCCTGCCCGGAAAGCAGAAATCGGCGCACGCTTGACTAAAACTTAACCTGGAACCTAACAAGCCTAGAAACAGGAAGAGAGAAAGCATGAATTACTCAGTTGGAGTTAACATTAGACACATGTGAATACTTAACCGCATGTCATGAGCAACCATGAAATGCAGTTAATGAATCTCCGTGGACTCGGCAGTTTCTTTTTCAGCATTCTCAAGCGAAAACCGTTGATCAGTTAATGGCTCACAGTGCAAACAAGGAAATCGGAACGCTGCAGCTTTGATTTCAGCGCCCCGTAGGGATCACACAGCGCACCCAAGTGGGAAGATGCTGCTGGTCACACTTAGAATTTCAGAAGCTGGATGATGGATGCGTTAGCCCTTTACTGCATTAGCACTTGACTGCAAAACACCGAAGTAGACAGCGTTGTCATTGCACCAAGGGGATATCCATTTCACTGGTAGCTTCATTGGACACAGTCCCAGTGAAATTCTGTGTCCCCCTGCTGAACATCGTAAACATATATATATATACAAAAGTACTCTTGGAAACAGTGTGGCACACACAGCAAGATCAGACTCGCCTTGTGAGTGCAGGTGTCGATCGGAGCGCGCAACATTCTAATATCAACAGAGCAACTCACATAATGAGTCACATATCACATCCAGCAATTCTTGGCTCTTTCCGTCTGTTTTTGTGAGCGTTGATGCCTTCCTGATTGTCCCAAGTCCCACTGTGCACGGAGGTCAAATTGCCGGCCGCAAACCTATGCTGTTCGAACATCTTTTGCGTTGGACTGTTCCAACCAGTCCACGAACAGCTTGGACCCAGGCAAACAATGTTTGCAGTCATTCAATGTAATGCACCAAACTCAAGTTTGACATATTTGCTGTGCAATCCTGCCGTCAGACTGTATGCGTTTGCGAGACCTTTTTGCGGGGAAAGAGGTGCTGGGATCCAGGACCCTTGCCCTGCAACAGTGTTTCACAGCGATGAGCCAGGTTTGAGCATGCCTAGGCCTAGGCTGTCGACGCTCGCCAAACCAAGCAATGCTCTTTGGCTTTGTCATTCTTGACCGATCTAAGTGTGACGGAAGATTGTGGTGTACCCTATGAGACTGAGAATCCGTTCAAGCGTGTGAAGCGTGTCATATATGTTCATGACTCCCAAGATGGACTGCCCCAATCTTAGTCCAGTCAGATTGTTGGCCATCTGACCAGTGAAGGTGTCATGCACAGTACAGAGTGCTCTCAGGTGGTATCATTGCTGCGAATACCGGCCGCCTTTCGGATATTTCTCACACAGAACACCGCCTCCCAAGCTAGAGGCTGAAGATGTTAGCCTCGGAAGCATGGCGATGAAATTTGCCTCTGGATTGTTTGCGAAGAAGGCCTGCCATCAAGGGATAGAGGCAGCTGGGTAGAGAACCGTGTGCATCTGTCGCCCAGAAAAGCCAAACAGAGCCGGACCGTCTTCCAGTTGGACAAGCTCCAAAAGAGGAAGGTGACTTCATGGAGCAACCGTACTGCCCTCAGTTTGCTAATGAGCACGCTGCACCTCTTTGGTGTGTATTCTTCGTTCAGAAAGACTTCGTGAAAAGAGTTGATACTTGAACGGAGCATGTTCAGGCAGGGACCACTGCTGCAATGCAACGTGTATGAGAATTTGAAACTAGTGCAGAACAAGGACAGTGTTGAACACGTTTCCCCAATAGCCATGCTATGGGTCTTGCAAAACTAATAGGCGGACGGGCGCCGTCGGGTCACCGTCCCCGGTCATGTTGTGACGGTGTCCCGCTCGTGTTGTGATGGTGTCCCGGTCATGTTTTAATGGTGTCCCGGTCATGTTTTGATGGTGTCCCGGTCATGTTGTGACGGTGTCCCGGTCATGTCCGGTCATGTTGTGATGGTGTCCCGGTCGTGTTGTGATGGTGTCCCCATCATGTCATGTTGGTGTCCCGGTCAGTCATGTTGTGATGGTGCCCCAGTCCTGTTGTGACGGTGTCCCAGTCATGTTTTGATGGTGCCCCCGTCATGTTGTGATGGGGTCCCGGTTATGTGATGATGGTGTCCAAGGAGGAGATGGTCGATGTGTTGAAAACAGCAGCTGTTTCCAGATTTTGCTTTTTGTGCCGGTTTGTATCTTGCTTTTGGGGTCTCCAGCTGGGCTAATTTGTTGTTTGTCTGACTCTGTGAGTGTGCTAGGATATTGGCACGCGAGAAAGTCTTGGAGACATGTGACCCACTCAGGAATTTGCTTTCCACCGTTTGTTTGGTCTTTGTTTGCCGTCAAAGACTGTACCAAGGCCTACAAGGTGCATGGGTGATGAGGCTGTGCTACTTCGTCGATTTACCGGGGGCTCTAAGCGCAAGGAGCCCAAGCGTTCAGGAGGTACTTGTAAGGTGATGGATCTATGTAGAAATGTAAATTATTGTATAATCTCTGAAATGAACACCACACACCCTTCCAAGTCTTTACAGCAAAGGGCTGACATGAACATAGGCACCCTGATGCTCCTACTGAAATGCAGCAGCTTCATTCACTGTGAAACTGAATGATGAGCAAGAAGTCAATCGCCGAGTTGACATAGGCCAGGAGGATAAAAGGGTCACGAACACACACACACACTTATGGATATGTGTACTGACTTGACAGCGGTGCCGCACGCCAGCCTAAGAAACCCAAATCCTGAAGTGTCCAGGAAAGTCCTAAAGAGCCTGGGGGTCTTCAAAAGGAAGTGAGGCCAAACACTCAAGTCGAGATCGGGACGACAGGATGACGACGGTCGTTCGCAACTGCGAAGTGCATTAGCCCTTTACGAGAAGATTGGAGTGAAAGCTTGTCAACGCCACAGCCATGCAGGTACGTCCAGAAGGCGTCCCTTCCGGATATCAGCCACATTGCAGCCCTCTTCGTTGGGCAATCAACTGCAACGTGGTATTGCCCCCTGCTTAAAACAAAACAATTCAAAAGAATCCCTGTGACTACAAGGGGCGCACACACACGCCTCCCCGAGGGGAGGCGTGAAGCTACGGTGAGGGCCAATGTGCACGTGTGCGCGCACAAGAGACAAAAGAATGAAGACATGACAAGAGGATGAGGCGGGACAAAGGTGCGTGTGGTTGAAATGAAAGGGGAACCAAGCGCACAGGGACACCCGATGAAGCCCACCTCATTGTAAAGACCTGGGAGACCTGAAACCTGTTTAAAGGTATGTAGAAGTGCACGTACACACTAAGGCCGGGACCAATGTGCGCGCAAACGAAGAAAAGGATGAGATGAACAGACATGAAGACAGGAGGACGTGAAAGAAAAGAGGAAACAAAAGTGTGTGAAGGGGAAGGGATGAAAGGGGAAACCAAATGGAGGGGACGAGAACCGATGAAACCAAACCTCATTAGAGCGCCTAGGGACCTGCCTCGTTTGAAAGTAAACGCTGTGTGTGCACCTGAGAGTGGGACAGGTTCCAACGAACCTCAAAAGTACTTTGGTCGCTCTGACCACGTTGAGGCGTTAAGCCAGCTTGGGCCGCTGCGGTCACGTAAAGGCATGAGCCAACTTGGAACTCCAAAGATGAGACAAACATCAAACATCCAAATTCTTGCGGCGTCAGCCATCTGCTGTCCGCTCCGGACACGTACATCTCCGGGCAGGGGAGACAACGACAGACGCCCGTTCGACGGGTCCACGGGAGGGACTCTACGGGCTCATCCTGGACTCTCACTGGGAGAGACACACTTATGGATATGCGTACTGACTTGACAGCGGTGCCACACGCCAGCCTAAGAAACCCAAATCCTGAAGTGTCCAGGAAAGTCCTAAAGAGCCTGGGGGTCTTCAAAAGGAAGTGAGGCCAAACACTCAAGTCGAGATCGGGACGACAGGATGACGACGGTCGTTCGCAACTGCGAAGTGCATTAGCCCTTGACGAGAAGATTGGAGTGAAAGCTTGTCAACGCCACAGCCATGCAGGTGCGTCCAGAAGGCGTCCCTTCCGGATATCAGCCACATTGCAGCCTGACAAGTCCAAACAAGGTTTCAGGCATCTCCAAAAATGACAACAACTATTTGCTACACGTTGCAGCAAGAGGTGGTGGGGTCCCTGATCCCACAGGTGTCGTCAGGCTGGCAGCCAAGGTTGCGCATGGGCCACATCATTTAGGCCACAAAGTGTGCGGTTTCAGAGCCGAGAAAGGACGTGTATGTTGCACAAATTTCTCCCGCCGGCCCCGCCAACATTCTACTGCAACAGTTTGAAATCTAAACGAGGTGGCCTTCTTAAGGCAAGTTTCTTCGTACCCTGCGTGTAGATGCACTGTATGCTGGTGCTGAGTGTACGTGACAGGAAGAACTATTTCTCCGTGCGCGTCCGGGTGTTTGTAGCTTGCTCTTGCATTTGTAGCGTGTGAGTGATTGGTTCTCAGTGGCGTCCCAACGCAAATCTTGTGCAGTGCAGGAGCCAGGAAATCCATTGGATCCAACTGAGATTCCAAAAGACACGGAATGCGCTCCTGGCTTACTGTACTGTAGAATAATTGGATACACACAGGAGCTTCCTGCATGTAGTAGCCAAGACTGATTGCTGAGGTCGATATTGGACCAAAAGGCACGCCAACTGTTTTGGGAAAAGAATCTTTGCTGCAGTTGCACTGTTCTTTTGAAGTGAGATTGACTGATCCTGCAAAAGCGAGCCTGTGCAAGTGTGACAGTTGGGTAGTAAGCATTTTTGAGGTCTTCAATCGAACCTTCGATGGAAACGCATCAGAATCTAGGGCCTATGTCAGGATATCATATCCTGACAATCAATGAATTGGTTTAAGGGAAAATCTGCAGGACACCCATAGTTTTTGGGCGTGAAAACCATGGTTTCCGGTAGATTTTCCATTAAACCGTACCCATTCAGTGAGGCAAATGAAAAGACAAGGTGCCAAAGCTTTGTCGGGTTAACCGCGCAATCCGAACGTGCTTTCGTTCGTGCAATCTAAGAATTATGCGGTTTTTACGCTTGAAGCGCCAATGCTCGGGCACTAAGAGCTTTGAGGCATGAGAATATGGACAGCTTTTGACGGAAGAACCAAGGCCTCTCTCTTGCCTAGCATTTGCGAATACCCTCAGGCAAGAGATCGCAGCTGTTGTGCATTTACCTTTCCAAGTGATTTTGCTTATTCAGGGCAAAACGGCTTCGGATGAGTTCCAGCCCTGGCCTCGATTTCTTTCGACATACATATGTGCATATATATATATATGTGGACGAAAAGGAATACCGGGCTTGAACCCATGTGTATATACTGTGTATATATATATATATGCATTTGTATGACAGGACCTGGAAACTCTGAGATTGGCAGCTTCCTCTAAGAGCCCAAAGTTGGCACAATGTCTCACTTGCCCAAAGAAGGCAACGGAGCAAAACTAGATTCTATTCTTGAGTGAGCTTCACTTTGCTTAAACTGTTGCTGACAAAGTTACCAAGGGCCAAGCTTTGCGCTGAACTTGCCATTCAAATAACAAATAGAATACTTAACGCTTGCCGCAAGGCAGACGGTTCTGACTGAATTCTGGACTCTGAATAGTGTCAGAGATTGAAGGCGAGTGCTTTTCTTCATTGGCTTTGTGGGCTTTTGTTCGGGGCTCGCATTGGCAAACACCAGGCCCTTTTCAGTGTGTCATCTAACTGCAAGTTCTCAGGTCTTTGGATCATGGCGTTCTACGATCCATGCCAGGCCGTAGGGCAATTTGTTTTCACTCTCTCTCTCTCTCTCCAAAGCTCCAGGTAGAGTCAAAGTCTAGAAAAGACTGTGGCTATAAGGGAATCAGTCCATCTTAGTAAGGAGCTCAGGCTGACGGCTGCTTTGGCTTGTCCTTTTGTGCAGAAAGTCCAAGTTCAATCTCCAAAATATGAGAAGGCGCCTGTTCTTCCAGTTCTGCATGCAAGTACACTTTACATAGTTATATGCGAGCCATTTTCAGTGCAACTCATAGGATAGATGTATTGCGTGACTGACATCACAGATTGTACATTTCAACATACCTCAGCCCCTTTTGAGTATCAAGAGAAGGTGCGTATGGTAGCGGAGCTGAGAAGGAGGTAACCTCTTTGGAGCTCTGGTTGAAAAGCCCATAGGTCACTGAGATCCCGGGTGTGATTGTGAGCCATAGATTTGGGGCCTTTGGAACCCAAACAGCTGGACTGGTGAAGAATTGTTGTGAGGAACACTCTGTACCCAGTACATTGTGTAGAGACATTAGTACAAGGAGAAGATGGAGGAGATCAGAAAACTCCTTACTGTAAGGATACAGCGCAGAGTACGCTGGCAACAACATCAGTAGCTGAGGCAGTGAAGAAAGCAGTTGGGGACAAGAAGTCATCAACCACAGATGGTCAAAAACTGATAGCAAATCCAAATATCACTGACTATAAGTCACAAGAAGAAGAGATCAAGGCATTCAGCGAGTAGTCATGGGTCTTTTGAGAAGTATTTGGGCGCAGTTGATGAGGGCTACGTGAAGGATTGAAAGGAAATTGATGAGAAGGCAAAAGGCAAACTTGACATGGAGTTGGCACAAGCTCTATGCCTCTATGCATTGTTAGTTTCACTGATGAGAGGAAGGGCACTGCAAATGGTTAAAGCGGTCGAAGACTCTAATGGGTTTGATGCCTGGAGGAGGTTGAATAAAGCTTCGAAACAAACTTCAAAGGCAAGAGGCTTGGCACTCTTGGGAGCAGCCACTACATGGCCAGCATTTTCAATGAATAGTGCACTATAACCTCAACTCTTGAAGCTTGAAGAGGTATTTGATGAGACGGTCAAGGCAGGGCTACAATTCAGGAAGAGTTGAAATCTGCTAATCTTTCGAGACTTTTCGACAGGTAGCGAGTGATCATACCCATTCATCTTCAGGAGGAGCATCAGTGACAACTCATACAGTTGGTCAACAACATGCTAGTGTGACTCAAGCAAGGCACAGATTGACGCACATGCCATCAATGCAGTAAGGAGTGCATTGAACATCAAACGCGTCCAGATCGCCATGAGAGAACAGATGGAGTGAAGAGATGAAGTATTCCTGAGGTAAGCTTCGACTTTTGCTATACAAGAGCAAGAGACTCAGAAACAAAGTCAGCTAGAGCAGTATGTTGGCTAGTTGCAATTGACAGCCAGACTGGCTTCATTCGATGTTGTGCCATTAGGGAGCAAAGGCCAATTTCGTCTAATTGCGCAAGAATTGATATTCAGCAATAACCTGCAGGAGTGACAATGAACCCACAACAAGGCAAATCCTCAAGATGCCGATCAATGCTCACCACAGTCTAGGACTCACTACTAGATTGGTGAACTCAAAGCTTGGAGATCATTCTTTTGTGTCAGAGAACACAGTTGACAGGGTGAGACAGCTTGCAGGAACTTTAATTGAAGGTGTGCAGTCAAGATTTGGTATCGAGATTAGATCAGATCATGCACTTTGGACTTAGGCAGCAAGACATGCCAGTTGGGTACTGAGCCAGTCAGAGGTGGAACTTTCTATGAACTTGTCTATGGCAAAAGTTACAAAGGACTTCTAGCAGAGTATGGTGAACCAGTTCATGACTACATCAAGAGCCTCAACCAAAGGAGATGCGAGATGGCATTTATTCTTGTTCTTGGGAAAAGCTGAAAGGCAAGGCGCCTATGTACTCACAGATGGAGTGCAGGTAGTGCTTAGCAAATGCGTCAGACGAACAGATCAAGATTGGTCCAAATACTTCCCCATAAATTACACCAGCATAGACCCAGATAGCGAGGCAGAATCCCACGACTTGTTGACGCGCGACTGGCTGGAACAAGAATGTACGCAGCCTGCGCAGCCAGCTTACGGCGCCTCCACAGCGCGCGCAACCAGCTGACACCAGCGCCGGTGCGCTTTGCCAGCTGACAACACCGGACCGGCGGCGGCGCCAGCGCCCAACCAGCGCCGCCGCCCGTCTTAAACGCGCGCTCAGCCACCAGCGCCCAGGACCACAACACCAGCACCAGCGCCGACGCCCCTTCGAAAGCGCGCGCAGGCAGCTCATTCTTATTTGCAGTTAGAACCCCATAGCTACCCCTAGTGCGATCTGGCGCGTATAAGTTTATGCGCGCAAAAGTACGCGCGCAAACAGCAAAGCCCGTAAGTGTCATTGGCCCAAGCCCAAGCAGTATCCAGCGCCACCGTTGCCTTTGTAGCGTGCTTGAAGCAACGATCTGTAGAACGATAAGGCCGTATGATCTTGCGCGTATAAGTTTATGCGCGCAAAAGTATGCGCGCAAACGGCAAAGCCCGTAGGCTTCACTCGCCCAAGGCCAAGCAGTATCCAACGACTATTGTGTGTGTAGCGTGCTGCAATATGCTGAAACAATGGTCGGTTGAGAGCCTGACGTTGCGCATAGAACATTATACGCGCAAAAGTATGGGTGCAAACAGTGCAGCCCTTGACCAAAACAGAACCTGAAGAGTGCAAATATCCCACAGCGCTAATTAATAGACAAAGAACACGCAAGCGACAACACCGTATGATGTTGCGTGCATAAGTTCATGCGGCCCCATGACTGCTGGCACTTCACTGTCAGAAACGGCGGTTGGTCGCCCTTCACTGCTACAAGCGGCAGTTTGCCACCCTTCACTGTCAGGAGCGGCGGGTGTTATCACTTCACTGTCAGAAGCGGGCGCCAGCGCTGAGCGCCGGCGCGCCAGCTCACGGCGCCCAGCGCCAGCGCCCAGCACCGGTACCAGCACCGGCGGCGCCCAGCACCGGCACCAGCAACCTGTCTCCACCACGTGCGCAGCCAGCTCACAGCGCCAGCGCCAGCGCCGGCGCCAGCAACCTGTCTCGAAAGCGCACGCGGGCAACTCCTTGTTATTTGAAGTAAGAACCCCATAGCTTCGCTATCTGGGAAAAACATTTTACAGGTGAGAAGACGCTTGAAGAAGTGAAGGCATTTCCCTCTACATCATAGGGCAGCCAAATCCAACTACTCCTATCTTATCTTCATTGAGGTGATCAGCACCGTCCAGACGCCAGACAAGTAATTGAATTGCTTGAGGACGAAAGCCCAATGAAGAAATTCAGGCCATCGGACGATGCAAGCAAGAAGGCCAAGATCAACATGGTGAAAGTTGGAGGAGAAGACATTGACCATGTAGATGAAGAATTATCGAAGAAGAGTGGAAAGACGAAGAAGGTGATGACTCAGACTTGGAAGAAATCAATGGACCTGACTGAATGCTTGTGGCATCATGGAGAACATGAACCTGAAGGAGATCCAGAAGAATGGATTGACAGAGTAGCTGATGAAGTGCTCCAGAAGATGCAGGTGCTAGAGAAACCAGAAGGAAGCGCAAAAGGAATCAGTTACTTGACAGCGCGCAAAGTGTATGACTGGAGGAAGACACCATATCAACTTGCATTGGAGATGGTATTTCAGTCAAGAGGTGGAAGAGAAGATCAAGAATGGTTGCAAGAGAACTTGCTTTCGCTAAAGGAAAGAGAGATGACATTTTCTCACCAGCGACTTCAGGACATGTACTGAAGCTTCTACCCACTTTATTCTTGCAGGGAATCAGCAAAGAAGACGAGGCAAGAGAGGGAGAAGGAGCGTTCTCACAGATGTTAGGATGTCTTGTTGTGAAGGATGCAACCAATTAAAGTGATCTTGGGAGGAGAAGAATTCCTAGTAAAGAGGAAACTACCTGGACAAAGAGTTTTCACAGAGTGCCTCACAGAGGAACTCAACTACAAGTTCAGTGCAGAGTGTCCGCGCCTAGGAAGAAATGAGAAGAGTATCATTTTGATCCATGTGGGTGCCTTATTTTCACAGGAGACTCAAAGTACACCAATGAAACCTTTCTTCCAAAGGTTCAAGGCAAATTCGACACCAGTGCGAGCAAGATTGAGAGGGTTGGAGATGAGTTTATTTTTACGAGGAGAAAGTGCCAAATTGAAGTTGTTGGATTATGGATCCAACCAGGTAACAACATCCAGCAGATGTTGAAAGCCTTCATACTATGAAGAGCAGATTGGGCCTGTCAAACTTCAATAACTACCAGCAGACATCTCAAACCAGATGGAAGACAAGTCAGAAGTCTTGCGTGAGCCAGGGAAGATTAGCCTTTTCAGAAGCATTGGATCAGGTATCTACCTATGTCGACAGAGGTATGATGTAGCATTCACAGTGAAGGAAATGGCTTCAAGAATGTCAAAACCTACAGCTATGTCATTTCATCGCTGGAAGAAACTCTTGGGATACTTGAAGAAGACTATGGACTATTGTCTAGTGCTTGATTTTCCACAAGGAGGAGAAGGTTATGTCAAGAAGGGAGAAAGCTATTGGTGCTTAGAG